TAATGGAGAGGAAGGCAAGGCGATACCAAGTAATAATAGACTGGTTCAAATCTAGGAAGATAAGGGTAAATTTCACAGTAACTACAAAGAAAGTTAACAAACCTACTCATCAAAATAAAGAAGAAAAACATAAAATCTCAGTAAAAACAAAAACCTACGAAAAGAAAAGAAATAAAAAAATCCACAAACAAAAGGAACTCTGCATAGGAAAGTAAGAGGAACAAAGAAAATGTCAGCACCACAAAAAAAGCAGTACAACATGCAATCCCACTCCTAGGAATATATCCTAGAGCAATAAGAGCCATCACACGAATAGATATATGCACACTCATATTCATTGCAGCACTGTTCACAATAGCAAAAAGATGGAAACAACCAAGATGCCCATCAACAGATGAATGGATAAACAAACTATGGTACATACACACAGTGGAGTATTATGCAAAGATAAAGAACAATGATGAATGTGTGATGCGTCGCATAACATGGATGAAACTGGAGGACATTATGCTGAGTGAAATAAGTCAATCACAAAAGGACAAATATTGTATGGGACCTCTACTGTAAAAACTCATGTAAAAGTTTACATACAAAAAGAAGCAATCTTTGTTGGTTATGAGGGATGGGAGAGGTTGGTGGGGAACTTAACAGACAATAGATAATTGGTAACTTTGGTGAAGGGTAAAACAGTACACCATACTGGGGAAGCCAGCACAACTTGTACAAGGAAAGGTCATGGAAGCTCCATAGACACATCCAAACTCCCTGAGGGACTGAATTGCTCGGCGGAGGGCTGTGGGGACTGATCTCCGAGAACATCTAGCTCAATTGGCATAACACAGTTTATAAAGACAATGATCTACATTCTACCTTGGTGAGTAGCATCTGGGGTCTTGAATGTGAGCAGCCTTCTAAGATATTTGACTGAATGAAGAGAACAGGATACAAAGAAAAGATTAGTCCAAAGGACTAATGGACCACAGCTACCATGGCCACCACCAGACTGAGTCCAGTACAGCTAGATGGTGCCCGGCTACCACCACTGACTGCTCTGACAAGGATCACAACAGAGGGTCCCGGACGGAGCTGAGGAAAAATGTAGAACAAAATTCTAACTCACAAAAAAGACCAGACTTACTCCCCTGACAGAAACTTGAGAAACACTGAGTGCATGGCCCCCAGACACCCTTTTAGCTCAGTAATGAAGTCACCCTTCAGCCAAAGATTAGACAGTCCCATAAAACAAAACGAGACTAATGGGGCACAGCAGTCCAGGACAAGGACTAGAAGGCAGGAGGGGACAGGAAAGCTAGTAATAGGGAACCCAAGGTCGAGAAGGGAGAGTGTTGACATGTCATGGGGTTGTTAACCAATGTCATAAAACAATATGTGTACTATTTAATGAGAAACTATTTGTTCTGTTATCCTTCATCTAAAGTACAATAAAAAAATTAAAAAAAAAAAAGTAGCTACAGGTGCTAACCAAAAGTTGGCAGTTTGAATCCACCAGGCACTCCTTGGAAATCTTACGGGGCACTTCTACTCTGTCCTATAGGGTCACTATGAATTGGAATCAACTTGAGGGAAATGGGTTTTATTATGTAATTTCAATTTTAAAAGTTACCAAATAAATACTCTGGAAAATCTAAAAAAAAAAAACAACAACAGTAAAAAAGTGGGTGTCAAAAGTAAATAAAGATCATGAAAGGGCCTAAGAACAGATGACAGAGAGATAGGAACAAAACTAGTCAACACAGGTCTGACAGAACCTAAGAGATAAAGAAGATCAATTGATGACACCACTTTTGTTTTAAGAATAAACATCAAGCTATCAAATGCATATATATTTTCAAACCCAAACCTTCAGTTTATTGTTCTCCATATAATTTATTCTTGGACAGGAGGTGCCAAAAACCAGATTATTAACTTGCAACCCACCCTGGCAACTAAAATAGCAATACATGTTGAGACTACACAGAATGATGTCTTGCACAAAAAAAAAAAAAAAAAGAAAAAAAAAGAGCATTAACAAAATATATTGTTGTCACAATGAAAGGAGGGAATGGGAGGGCCTTGGAGACTTGTGTTCTTATTATAATCTCCACTGTGGCCATGTGGCTGACATGTCTTAAGGTCAGAATACGTCTTAAGTATTTTTTCTCTCCACAGCCATGGAAACAGCAGAGTCCATCCTTGATGAACACCTGCTCAAAGGTGAAAGGAGGCAAGATCTCCAAGAGATGCTGAGAGAAGTGGGACTGGCCGCAGAGTACTGGTTGCCCATTCTGCAGAAACAACTGGGCGTGACCTGTGCCCAAGCCTTACAACACCTAGAAGAAAAAGACCTCCTGAAGTTAAAATCCCAGGCACAACATCCTTGGGAAAAACGAGCCCTGGAAAAACTGCTTAATCTGTCACACTCAAATAGCCTTTCAAAGTTACAGGAGTCTCAAAAGGAGAAGCAAAGGCAGGCACAGCAGGCTCTGAAGAAGTTGAAGGACTTGATGTCAGAAGGGAGGCAGCGACAGGAAGAAGCCGTGAGGGCAAAAGAAGCAGAGCTGAGGCAGGCAATGGAGATCCCAAGAGAGTACTGGCCACCCCTTAAGAAGCCTCTAAGAGAAGTCATAGAAAACATGCAGAAACAACTCAACACCATGGACGGGACACTGGTAAACAGAAAAAATCTCCCAGGTGGAGACCTGGTAAGATGGGCATCTGGAGGGCTGGCCCTGCAGGGAGTTTACAAAACCAGCCAGCCAAGGGGTCTGATAGAGAAGAGAGAAGAGCTACTCAGTCTCCCCAAGAATTTCTCACTCTTCGGCCCTGAGCAGAGCACCCGGATGGAAACAAAGGAATTTTCATGTTCTCAAGCAGAATGTATGTTCACTCAGATGATAGAGAAGTTGGGCTTCAGTGTCACAGCCTCAGCCAATGGTGGAGGGTGGGGATTCAACCTGGATGCAGGTATGGATCACAGCCAACATTCAGAATCCCAGGAGAGCCAACAGTCACGTTCTGAGCACTCTTATTTCTGCACAACCAAGTTCAGTTACATCCCACTGGCCTCCTGCCATTTTGCCATTGACCAGCTCCAGCTCTCCAAGGCTGCTCTTCAGGAACTGAAATGCATTGAAGACCTTCTGGGACAGCATGCAGGCCCCGACACCCTTCCCTTGCTGAGGTACAGAACTGAGGCCTTCTTCCACAGTTTTGGCTCTCATGCTAACCAGGGCCCTCTGCACCTGGGCGGAATCTACTGTTGGAAGGCCGTTTCAGAGGGTTTCCAAAGTGAGCAGCTGGCAGAAGTGAAGCAGCAGTCAGCAGAAGCCCTGGATATTTACATAAGGAGCAGCTACTGTGGCTTTGCAGTGAAAACTGCTGCAGGGGTGAACATTTCAGACTCTCATTCAAAAATGGCCTCTCAGAGCACAAATTTCCAAAATCTCCAAACCAACATCCAATTATCTGTGGCCCACATAGGTGGCCCACCAGAAGCAGACAGCTTTGCCCAGTGGAAAGCTGGGCTCATGGCCAGCAATCAAACCTGGTGTGTCATTGACCGGGGATTTAACCTGGTGCCCATTTGGGACATCATTCTTTCCATCCACAGAAGTGATTTTAAGAATCCTGTTCAGGTGGCTAACTGCCTGAAAGACAGCTACACTGCTCTCACTGGCCTCACTACCCAGATCCAAGATGGAGAGGAATTCTTCAGTGCTAATATGGAGGCTAAGATTTTCCTAGAGGACATGAAATCCTGGGAGGTATCTCATCCTGAAGAGCAGCTTAAAAAACTGATAAATTTCATGCAAATGTTGAGTCAGAAAATTAAAAGTTATGACACCTGGATTAGCATGTGCCTCACAGATTGGAATATGCAGAATTTTCTGGTGAACACTGTCAACTCTTGCAAAAAGTCTTCTACTTATAATACTAAATTTGTTAAGTCTCAGTTGTGCACTCTTCTGGATCCTCACATCTACAGAGTAAAAGACTTTCCTCAGGCTCAGTCCATCATGCAGTGGATCTTCCAGTCAGAGTCATACCAAGAGGAAGTCAACATCTCTCAATTTTCTGAATTCATTAGAACCCTAAAAGAGATCCAAAACAACTTCATAGAAGCAAAGACCAAAACTGAGTCTCAGGAAACTGTGCAGGAAGCTCAAAGAAAGGTCACTTATGAGGTCAGCTTGTCTCTCCACTCCTTGTTGGAGAAGCTGCGAGAAACGGGCCAGCCAGACACACAGCTCTTGCTACTTTGCATCGCAGCTGGTGCAGGCTATCACGCGGTGAACAACACTTTTCAGTATGTCCTGGGATATGATGAGTTAGACTACCTGCTGCATGAAATGCAAACAGCCCATGATAAATATCAGGAGCTCAAAAATATTTGCAGCTACAGGGCTCAGGCATTCCTGGTGCTCACGGGGCTGACAGCCACAGTTGGAATCACAGCCTTTTCTGAAGAGGAGAAATCAAAACGCTTGTCATTAATGAGACAGCATATGCAACAATCACTATCTAAAGAAGTTGCACATGTTCTCACCAAATTTGGGGCACATTGTGATTGGGAAAACCTAGAGAAAGACTTGCGATTGCTCATTGATGGAGATTATGAAGCCACTGTCTCTTCTTTGAAAATGGAAGACGTGAGAAAAGAGTTGAAAAGTCTCAGCCATGGAAAAAAACAGCCCCATAAGGCAGATAATAATGAAAATAACACAACAAAACTGATAGAAAATGGAGCCGTCCTACACTTATTGCAGCGTCTAGGCCTAGAACATCACTACCCAAAGAAGCTGGGCAGAGCTAACTTCCATCTGATTTATAAAACCTCTGTATACAACACCCAGCCCAGTTCTGAACAAGAGCTTCCATTTTATTTTCTGCAAAAGCTGTTGGTGCTTGATTATGAAGTGAGATATTTGGTTTTCAAAGATGGTGGAAACACAGAGGACCCAGTCTATCCAAGCCAGGAAAATGAGGCTTTTGACCCATACGAAGAGATCTGTGAAGACAGTGACAATCCCATTAATCCTTCAGCCACTAATCTGAGGCGCCACATTCACCCAATGGATATACAGATGGCAATTTATCACTGTGCAGATGATTTGGCCAGGCAATATATTCTAGACAAACTTGCCATGTGTCAATTTGCCCTTCCTCTTGTGGTGCCCAATCCCTGCTCTTCTCAAATTGAATTCTCCCTCTGGTCTCTCGGTAAAATTAGAAGAAGTTGGCAGCAAACAGGGAAATCAGAAAAAAGGAAGAACAATTGCAAAAATCAGCAGATGTGTCGTGTAGCTACCTCCATTGTGTCCTTCATTCGAGTTGGAAATGGCTTCGCTACTTCCAAATCTCAGATCATGAACTGTCTTCTCAGTAAACGTAAACATGATGTCTTCTTTCACCGACACTGCAGTGGGAGCAGCAAAGACTGTCTCTTGATGGAGGGTGTGGTGGAAATCTGCTGGTTCTGTCCAGGGGGCAAAGATAAGGACAGATTTGACAAGTGCATAACCTTCACCAATCTCCACGGAGATGCAAAGGAACATGAACGACAGCTCACTTTCCTGAAGGAAGTCTCTTCTCTCATTGTGATCCTCATGTCAGCTTCTGATAGCAATGATAAAAACCGAAAAATTGTCCGTGACTTGTGCCAGTCATCAAAACCATTGATCTGTTTGCTTGATGACAAAGAAAAAACCATGGCCAATAATTCCAACAGGAAACTGAGAATTGGAATCAAGAACAGAAATGAGTCAGAGTTAACAGAAGAGCTCATGTGTACAATCAGACGTTTGCTAGAGCTATCTGACAGGACTCAAAGCTTAGAGGACTGTGCCAGTATTGCTCGTAAGCAAGGATTCCTAATAGATGAAGACGAGAGAGATTGCAAGAAAGCCAAAGAAAAGGCACAGAGTCTAACCGACCTCTTGAGAAAAATGAAGTTGAATATGATAAAGGAAAACTTACTACCTCTTCAGGGAAAACTATGGCACCTTTGGTGTAAGAAGGACAAAGAACTCTATCATCTCAGAGAAAAGGGGAACCGGAGTATTGAACAACATAAGAGTGAGATTCAGACAGAAAAACAAAGAATACGGCATCGGCAATTGACCAAAGCCTTTCCTCTCAATGATTTAATGCGCTCTTTCCTTGAAATATTGCAAGATACTTCAGAAACCCATAACAAACTCTACTTCCTGCAGTGGCTGAGTGTGTTTTTGGACAACCTGACTGCAGATCACTTGGAAAACCTGCGTGAGAAGCAAAGTTCTTTGTGGTCACAGGTACAAACTGAAAAGCAAAAGGCACCAAACAGCAACTCGCTCAGATACTGGCAGAATGAGATAGAAGCCATCTCAACGAAGATTAGTGACTATACCCTGGGAACAGAGCACCTTCTCAGAGAAGCTGGACAGATCTATGAAGCACTGGAAGAAGCTTGCTCCACAAGAGATACCCTCTTCCTCTCCCTTCCCCAAATTGCTGCTGACCTGATGATATCTGGGCTTCCCATTGAGCTGATGGACGGCGACACTTCTTATGTCCCGCTGAAGTGGGTGGCAGCTGTTTTTGACAAAGTCTCTGAGAAACTCGGAGACAAACAGCTGTTTGTTCTCTCTATTCTCAGCCTGCAGAGCTCAGGGAAGTCCACCCTGCTGAATACCCTTTTTGGACTGCAGTTCACTGTCAGTGCAGGGAGGTGTACCCGGGGGGCCTACATGCAGCTCCTGAGGATAGAGGAGACATTCACAGAGGAACTTGGCTTTGACTTTGTGCTTGTTGTGGAACACAGCAGGACTTCGGGCACCAGAACTCAGCAACAAATCCCAGAACCGGGACAATGAGTTAGCAACCTTTGTCATTGGACTTGGAAACTTGACTCTGATCAATATTTTTGGAGAAAATCCATCAGAGATGCAGAATATTCTACAAATAGTTGTTCAAGCCTTTCTCAGGATGAAACAAGTAAAAATCTCCCCAAGTTGCCTGTTTGTCCATCAGAATGTGGGGGAAGTTACAGCGAAAGAGCAAACTATGGAAGGACGAAGGCGGCTAGAGCAGAAACTAGATGAAATGGCAGAAACTGCAGCTGAACAGGAACAGTGCTCAGATGTAACCCGCTTCAGTGATGTCATTAATTTTGATGTCAGGACTCATGTCTACTACTTTGCTCACCTCTGGGATGGAAATCCCCCAATGGCCCCTCCTAATCCTCACTATAGCCATGATGTGCAGGAACTGAAAAGCAGAATACTTGGGACTGCCAAGGAGGAATCCAGAGGCAGTATCATGAAGATATCAGATATAAAATTCCGAGTTCAAGATTTATGGAGGGCCCTTGTATGTGAAAACTTTATTTTCAGCTTCAGGAACACCCAAGAGGTCATGGCCATGAGCAAACTGGAAACCAGGTATAACCACTGGACCTGGGAGCTAAGGAGTCATATGGTGGACTTACAGAACAAGCTGACCAACCAAATTCAGAATGGAAAAATCCAGACACTCAGAACCAGTGAAGTTGAAGCTCCAGTGACAGAAAAATATGAAGCCATCAAGCAAGACCTGGAAAATTTTTTTAATGAAGACCCAGATAATGAAATTCTGGTACAGTGGAAAGCAATGTTTGAAAATAAGTTGAGACTCCTTAAAGAGACACTTATTTCAGATATGGAAAGAAAAGCCAATGAACTTATTTGTTTAAAAAAAGGCCAAGAAAAACTGGATGAAAAAAAATCAAGTTATGAAAGTGACATCTTGGAAAGAAGCCGACAGTTAGCTTTAACTATAAAGGGCAAAGAATTGAGTGAAGAAGATCTACACAAGAAATTCAATCAGCTTTGGAAAAAATGGGTCTGTGATGTATCCTCAAATTTCCTTCCTGCCACAGAACCTAACATTGATGTGGACTCTGAAAACACTCTTCTGGAATGTTTCAAAAAGGAGAAAAACGTGGTGGACATTTTAAAAAGTAATTCTGAGGAGACGTTTCAAATTAAGTATGATGTACATATCAATATGAGGAGGCCAATATTAAGATGGAGGAGGTCATTAGAGACCCATGATAAAGAGTCCATAATTATGACCACTAACCACATTTTTTCAAGATTTACTGAAATTATTACCAATGTTAGAAGGCAACAGCGTGATTACAATCCAAGTGATTTCTACGAAATCCTGAGAATGATAGAACAGGAGGTGACATCTGCATCCACTGAGAAAAGCTACACATTCACAAGTAGATATAAAATTGACTTGTCTTTGTGTTTGTTCCAAAGAGCATCAGAGAATTTTAAGCAGATGCACATGGCATTCAAGACAGCCAATGATCCTGTAAACTATCTAGAAAGTAAGAAAGATGATTTCTTCATGAGTTTTAAGATCTCCTGCCTAGGAGCAACCTCTATCAAAGGATTTGTTGATTTTCTGTGGCATAAGCTCACTCCTGCTATCTCCACCACCATATGGAATAAAATGTCCTCTAAAATCGCTGGAGATATACGAGCTACCTTCCCTGCATTCAGTGGGAACAGGGCTAATCTGGAAAAACACATTCTCATCTCTCTAGCAGAAGAAGAAAACTTTGATAATTACTGGCAGTACCTTCATAATCCAAAATATTTTTTTAGGAACTACATTGAAAACAATATTCAGATATATTTTTCAGACAAAGGAGGTAAAAAAATGAAGACTTCTTTAAAAATCAGTTTAGATGACATCAAGAATGTCATCCTCTCGGCCATTCATGAATCCACTGCAATAGCTAAAGATAAAAGAAGTACTGCATCTGAATGGTTGGATTTATTCTGTGATTACTTGGGAAATAACTTGATCTTTCCACGAAAAGACCTGGTAAGCATTGAACATCAGGAGATAAAAGATATTGAATTTTTCAAAGAAGTAATGAGTGAAGCTTTGGATCCGGCAATGGAAAAAGTAGAACAGAATTGTTTGTGTATGCCTGAAAAAGAAATGATTCCTGAAATTGAGAAAATGCTGTCTGAGCATCTCTGTGGTTGCTGGAAACAATGTCCGTTCTGTAGAGCAATTTGTACAAACACAATTCCTGCACATGAAGGGGACCATAGTGTTCCTTTCCACCGTCCTCAGGCTTTGGATGGATGGCAGTGGGGTACAAAAATATCTGGAAAGTGGTATAGAACAGGCCAATTTAACATTGATTGCTGTTCTAGTATGGTAGCAAGTGATTGTTCTTTTATTTTAAGCGATGACTCTGAAATCCCATTTAAGAACTATCGACAGGCAGGTGGGGATTATGCCCTATGGAGTATCACTCCAGACTCATCCATGCAGCCATACTGGAAATGGTTTGTCTGTCATTTCAGATCAAAGCTAGAAGAAAAATATCAGAAAAAATTCACAGATAAAGGTAAAATCCCTAATGCGTGGGCCAAAATCACAAAGCAGGATGTGCTGGATGACTTAAAAAAACAATAATCCTCAAGGATCACATGAAAGTCGCCATATTGGGACAATCCTAAACACCTCTTCTCAGAATGAAAACCCTTTATATATTTTAAAAATGGACCATATAAAAATGAGTCAATAACAAGCATCTCAATAGGACAAGATTTCTGGATGATGAATCTTATTTTTCTCTGCTTCATCTCATTTTAGTTCTTAAAAATTTTATTAAATAATATAACATAAAAATATAACATTTAAAATAGCTGTTTATGACTTAAAATAATTTTCAAATTATACTTTTATTAGAAAAGATCATATTTACAAAGAAAATTTACATATTTGAAGCTAGGAATTTTTAAGAAACAATTACATAACATTTCAGAACTACCAAGATATAAATTTCATATATCAAATCACAAATATTAGGTAGAAATCTGTTTTTTGTTGTTGTTTTACAGAAAGAAAATGTTTTTGCCTACTGAAGAAGTGAAGCAAAAATTGTTGTTAACCTTTGAGTGGAAAAAAATAATGGGAATTCATGGTTTGAAAGCATATGACATTTTCTGTTCTTATATAGATGAAAGTAGATGAGTGACCAGGATGGAGTCTGCACTCATTTGGAACAATAATTTTTATCAAGTACATACAGGATATACACATTCTTTAACCATTATCTTTCTCTTCCCTAATCTCTTAGCAGCTCCTCCCTTGTGCAAGGTAAGAAGAGGGAAGATTCAGAAAATGATAAACTCAGAAAAGAACATACTGATTCTGACCATGAAAGTTTGAGTGACAACATAGAGCTATGTACAAATCTAAGGGGATTAGTTCCAGGAACAAGATTGAGGATAAAGGCAAAAGAATCATTTAAATCAAGTTTTTATACAAGGTTAGAATTTGATTAGGCCATTAATGAAAAATAATGTTGATTTTTAATTAAGGATACATTAAAATAAAATCTCTCCTACTCATTAAATTCAATTAGATCCCAGGATTTTGACAAATTCACCTTTTAAAAAATTACAAAGAAGAAAAAGCTTGTCTCCGAGTTATGTTCATGAGATGCTCTTCATATCATTTGAACAACAAGATCATGATCACAACTATCAAGCACAGCTGAAAGTGGCCAAGGGCCAGAGAGCAAAGAAATACATTATCCAGGGCAGCATCTGAACATCTGAACAATCTGACACAGTGGCTAATGTAGGATTCTCAAGACCTAACCGACTGGGATTACTATGTGTTGAAGAGTTTCTTATTCTGAACATGTAGGAATTCTTGGGCTTCCTTTTACTAGTACACCCTATACTGCCCCTAAAGAAGATGAGACAGCCCAGGCCTGATGGTGGACCCTCCAATGGGAACAGTAACGGAAGGACTTGGGTTCTCAGAGATGGGAGGTAAGAATGCTGATTTGATGGCTCAGAAACAACAAATGACTCTGCTTCTTTGGTCCCCTCAAGGGACTTCAGTGTTTCTCAACATCTATTTTAGGAGGGGTGGCAGTTATGGAAAACCCATGTCTCCAGAACAACTCGTGGAGACAAAATATTTACAAGGGAGAAACCCGGACTGCTTAACAGTGTGGTTTTCCCTCTGCACTTTGGAAGAGGAATCCTGGTGAGAGTAGCAAGCACCTCCCGATGTAATCAAGTTGGAGTGATGAATAACTATAGTTAGAAACAAAGCCCATTTCATAGGAAGATATCTGTCTCCCACGGCCAATAAAGAAATTCTCACAAGGCATTTTTCGGACTAGAGAGATTAAAAAGGCAGACCTAGAAGCATAGCTAGGGTGGGGAGTACAGGACATGGTCAACATTTGTAAAGGTAAAATGGTGACATCCTAGCTGTTATGCCTATGATTTCCAACTCATAGCGACCCCATAAGGTTTCCAAGGCTGTAAATCTCTACAGAAGTAGACTGCTACATCTTTCTCCTGCGTAGTGGATGGTGGTTTCCAACCTCCAATGGCTAAACTTTTGGTTAGCAGTCGATCACTTTAACCACTGTACCACCATGGCTCCCTCAATATGAAAGCAGGAGTATAAAATACAAACAAGGATCCCTTTTTTACATCTGAGTTACCCACCCTGAACATGGTTGTGAGCTCTATGAAGGCAAGAAATATAACTTTTATTTTCATCGTTGTATCCTTGAAAACTGTGCAATACTCAGTAAACTTTTGTTGAACAAAGTAAAGGTCACTGTTTTTAAAACCTGTTTTCTGAACTTTATAACTTCCATTAACTAAAAGTATCATAATGTAATTTATAAGCTTTAATTTTCAAGTCTGAATTGGTATAATTTTAAATGTCTTTGATAAATTAAGCATATTTCTTACCATGAAAAACATATTAGACTTTTTGTGTGAACATATCAGAATTTCCCTAACCAATCTCAAGAATGTGAGAGAAGTAAATAGGGAACAGGGAAGATTTAGGTCTATTCTGCAAAAACCGGCTCAGATATATTTTTAGAGTAGAAAATGTAGATGGAAAGTGGTCAACTGACTTGAAATAATTGAATTGGTGCTAATATTGAAAAAGTACATCACATTCATTCCAATTTCGTGTAGATAGGCAGATCACAATGTTTCCTGGAATCTTGATTCTATGTTAAGCTTAAACACAATAGAATAAAAACTGCACCAGTTGACACCACCATACTTCACTGAATCTGTAAGGAATTACTAAAAACAATTTAATTTCTATCGTTCAAGTACCAGGGATACTTGAAGGCATTTTTTAAAAAGTTAAAAAGAAAAAACTGTGAAATCTATAATGTGGAATTATTTTATAGAGGCCACGGTAGCAAATAAAAAGTGCTCATAAGTGTTGATCATCATTATTCATCCTCAAAATGCATTTCAAAGTATTGATGTCTTTTAGTATAATATCAATAGGTACATATTCCTACATGTAATCAACCCACACAAACTTGAAGATATCACATCCAAAATTCTTTAGCTTTCACAAGAAAATCAACTAGCCTCTTAATAGGAACAGGAACAGTGAACGGTATCTAAGAGGATGGAAAAATAAAGTGGAGAATGACTATATTTTCATAAGAGAGTTAGCCACTATGCTACAAAATTTATAAGTAGAAATAATTTTCCCCCCAAGGAATTATTTTTGTTACCCCTTAATTGCAATTGCTAAATAAAAACAAGAAGAAAGTAAAACCTCTTGGATAGTGACTGGATCAAGAAAGAGATGGTTTTATTAAAATATTAGAGTAAACTAAAGCATGTAATAATTGGATCCTGATTTTAAATGCTTCATGGACTCTCCCTCTCCTAATTCTTCCAACAATCCCATGAGTCAGGTACAAAGATAATGATGGTGGCACATGGAATGAATGGAGAATCTGATTCTAGGTTGCTGCTCTTAACCACTACACACATGGCCTCCAACTACCTAAGAAATGATCGCATTTCTTAGCTGAGCAGAAGTAATAGTAAATCTACTCCTCTAACTAACAAGACCTGCTCTGGCATTAGTGAACGTTCCTGTATTGAGAAACTACATAAGCAGTATCAGAAAAACAAACACAAAGGAAGTTATCCAGCTATGTGTATGATGGGTCTAGATTAAAATCATGACCAAGGTGAGTGTACAGTCTTCCTCTCTTTGCCACACATGGTTGACTTTCCAGAGATGGACTTTGTGTAAGAGTGTGAACTCCAAATAGATATAATCTCCTGGGTATTCAGGTCCTAAGAGATGCAGTCCAGATCTTATGATAAAGAAATGGAACTTTTCACAGAGAAGTTTTGAAGGAGATCTCCCTTTCTTGCAGGGTGTTGGAAGGGCAGTCTGCCTTTATGATTCCCATTCAGGCCTCCTAAACTGAGGCCTTGGGCTCAGAGCATTCTCTGATAGGGAAGCTGGGAATTGGGTCTCTCTCTCCCAGTCCCTTCTCCTTGTCAGAAATGGCTTCCTCCCTGTTCTGAGCTCATAGTAACTTTTTCTGTCTCCATGACTAGTTAATTGTACTAAAGTAATTAATCTTGTAGCTACATAGGAAACATTTTTATGCTGTTTGCCCGTAAACAAAGGCACTTTCATCTTACCCCCTTCACTTTTCCCATGCAGGCCAGCACATATACCCCTCTAGTTTATGCTGTGTAAACCCCAGGCCCCGAGTTCCCTTTGTTCTCTTGCCCATGGTGCATCTAGTGGCGTGCATGGAAGTGACCAAACATCCCACACTTAGACGGGAGCATTTTGGGAGAACGTGGCTCTTGGTAAACTCTACTACGTTTATCGCCTTCCTGCTTCATGTAAGTATTAAAGGCATGTAACCATGTCAGTGAGTAGAGTCAGTTATTCATTCTGATCCAAAGAGCTCTGCACTGTTAGATTTATTTCATTAGCACACTGCAGAGGGCAAAGATCTAAAGGTGAAAAGCAAGTCTAAGAAGTAAGGAATGAAAAAATTGATCCAGTAAAAGAGTTTGTGTTTTGTGGTACTGTCCTTGGACTGTGGGGCAACCATATGAAGCATTTACTTTTTCTTTTTCTACTTTGTACAAAATTGTGATTCCCTTTAATCACCCAGTGCTTCAGTAAGTCTCAGTGTAACTATGCACAGTTTTATGTCAATACAAAAACAGACAGGTGAGTAATGAAAACTTTAAGCACAAAATCACTGTCTCAATGACTACGGTGCTGCGGGAGCCATGGTAGGGTTTCCAGATAAAATATAAGACATATTTTTACACCTTGTATTTGTGTTTACCAAGTTCTAAAACCCTATAATCCTGACATTCTAGGTAATAACCAGAAGCAAGGTGAATTATGGCCCAAAGTTGGGTTGGGAAAAGTCACAAGGAAGATGTACTCCAGAGAACAACTTAGGAGCAGAGGATGTACCAGATGGTGGTGACTCTTGGTGGCTATGTCTGACACTTGAGTTATAAGTAGAATAAAAAGGAGCTGATATGGGAATAGAAAAAGGATATAAAATGGTGAGTAGAACAGAAGATGTTTATGTAGGAGAGAGAAGAAAAGTTGAGACCATGAAAGGGCATTGGTATGCATTAGATGGAGAGAGAAGTGGAAGAGGGGCTTGGCTAAAGGACTTCGCTGGGTTCTACTGGACTCTGACCTACACTTATTCCACAGTAAGATAAAGGGGAAAGATTTGAGGAAAAAACTTTGGGTGGAGATTTCCTGTCTTTCCCTGCCAAGTTTAGTCTATACAGGTTACTCACATGTATTCTTTTATCATTCATCCTGTTACTCTGGGTTTCTGGGGTTAAATGAGATCATGAGGTTTAAGGGGATACGATCTATAATATAAAAGGGTAGTTTCGAGTCTTAACAAGAGCATCTCCGACTCTTCCATGCTCCTCTCCTCCTCGCAGCCTCTCTTGTCCTGCTTTGTCCTGCTTCCAGTTCCACAGCCCTGTCCTGCCTCTGGTGTCAACTAAATTCTCATTCTTACAGCCTCCCTTCTAATTTCTGGGGCTTTACTCTTCTTTCTGTCTATGAAATAATACAAGCTCATAGTCAACAACTCAAAAAAATAAAGATACAAAGAAGTTCAAAAATCATATACATTCTCAACATTCAGAAATAATTCTATTAACATGTTTGCAACATCCTCCAGAGATCTCTTGATGCATATAGAGATAATTTATATAAATTTTAGTGCAAGACTTAAACGGCTTGTTCTTTCATTGTATATTTTATCCAGCTATATGTCAATATAAAAATTGGTATCACTAATTTTAATATCTTCAAATATTTTATTGAATAAATGTATCATGATGAGTTTATGATGTACTTATGATAGGCATTAAGTTTATAATAATCACCTTTACTC